ACCCTTGTACCAGAGAGAGAGAGAGAGAGAGAGAGTTTTCTACTTCCCTGCCATTGTTGTTGTAGTGTTTTCTGTCTTTCCATTAAATTGAAGTGATGCCTTCCTGTCTTGGCTTGTTTGGTTCCTTTCTTTTCACGCCTCGATTCCAACTCAAAAATCGGTGTTTTTGCCTTGTGAATTAGCATTAGATTAATCTCCAAACATGTGTGATAATCTATCAAATCTTTCAAAGATTAGATGGTAATATAATATTCGAACCAGTGTTTAAATTTTTCTAACCATATTTTTTTATAGAAATAATCGGATTTGCGATCGAGAGAAGAAGATCTTGGACCGAATAATTTGCACAAATTTGGGACAGACATTATCAATGCGGGGAATCAGATTGGGTCGTTGCATAATGGTAAAGAGACAAAATGACTGCAAAGGTTGTCTCTGGTTAATGTTTTACCTTACTAAGTGGGTGCATTGGTTAGGTTCACATGGCCACATGTGAGCCATGTCTTTGGATCTTTCATTTATTTTTCTTCCCTTTTGATTTTTTTTTATAAAAAAAATTCATAACTTTGTTGACAATATTACTAAAAACCAAAGAAACTAATAAAATATTAAAATAAAAAGTGTCATGACATAAGCAGTAGAATGGCTATTGAATCGATTCAATAGTGATGTGATATAGAGGTAAGTGGATATTCTTTTTTTTTTTTATGGAAAATTATATTTATTTGTTTCTGTGTCGTATTAGTTTTATTTGAATTCCGTTATATTTAATTTTTATTTAATAAAGTATTCAATTTGGGTATAATTTATAAATATTGTATTCGACACATTTTGTAGATATTTCTTAAATCGGAAATCCAAATAGGTTTTAATCTAAATAACCCGAAAAAATTCAAGTTCGAAGTAAATATCGGTATCTCGTTGGTATCCATTTTTTATAATTATTTTATTTTCCATTTACTTTTTCAATTAATTTGATTTTAAAAACTTCTATCTAATTACTTTAAATCTGATTTAGGTTTTAGTTATGTATCATTTAGTTGAATTCATTTAAATTTTACATTACATAAGCGAAATATTGGTGACATGTTTTAGATTTATTTTAATGTATAATTTTTTAAACTCTTAATATTTCCTAATAGGTTAATTGAGTGCTGCCTTAACGGACCAAACACCTTCATTCACAATAGTATATTAGTATTTCGCCACGAACGATCTAAAAAGGTTTTTAACTCACGAGGAATACTATTACCCAATATTTTTTAAAAATTAAATATTTGGGACCGATGGTACGGTCCATTAAATTAAATAGAAAAAAAATCTAGATTATATCACAAGCACAGAAAAGTATATCCTATATGTAAAAAAAGGTCCAATTTTACTTTTTGTTTTTCTTTAGATATTCCTATTTCTTTCTAAATTAAAATAGGAAGAAGCCAAGGAAATTCACGTGCAACTGAAAATGACTGTTTTGCCCTTAACTACAATATATTGTTATTTTCCCCCTTTTCTGCGTAGGTTGCTGTGTGAGTGAATTATTCTATACGATAGCTTTTGCTCTCACATAATATCCTTTAAAGTTTAAACACACACACACACACACATATATTTATTTATTTAAAATAAGTGATATTTTTTTTGGGTAAAATTAAAATAAGTGATATTTAAAATCTGTTAGACATATAATCTTTATTTCATTAAATTAATCAAATCTTTAAAAAATGACGTTTTAAAAAAAATGAAACTCAGAATTTGAAAGAATCGAAGAAATATTTAGATTAAAAAATCTAAACTAAAAAAATAATAAAATAGAAATCTAGTCAAAACGGGAACAGTGATGCATGGTTCGATGTATATAATTGGTTGCCTTTAGGAAAGGTTATAGTCAACAAAAGGCCAAATGTTTGACCTTTATGCACTGAATAATATTGGATTAATGTTTCCCAAAATAATTTAGAATTGTTGCAATATTTTTTCATCCATCCATTTCGCATGAAGTTCCTCAAATAATATCTTAAATTTTTTTTTTTGTGGGGAAATGTATGTTTTTTCTTTGGAAACTATTCAATATTATAATTAAGTTGTAGTTTGATATTCATAATGTAAAAATATTATTCCCAAATTTTTTAATATTAAAATTTTAAAACATCGTATTGAACTAGAGAAAAAAAAACGGTATTTAAAAAATCATCAAAACGTATAACAACTGTTTTCAACTTTTTTTTAATCGCTTATAGGGACCAATTCGTGCATATTGTATACAAACTACATCGGCCCATTTAAGAAAGCCGGCCCATTTAGTTTTACCCGTAACGAAATGGGCCTCAAACAGAAAATGGGCCTTCTAAGAGTATCTTAATATGCATACTTGCTAATACTTCTCAACCATTGTAATAAGCCAAACATAAATACATGTGTGAATATGTGTATGGCATGGTTAAGCAATAAACGAAGATTCGTGAAAATAAGTTCAATAAAAAGAATATTAAACTCGTATTATTGATATATTATAATGTTTCGATTTATAAAATCAAATGAACCGTGAACATGGGCTCAGCCCATTAAGAGATTATGCACATTACCAATATTACCCTTGTACCATTTGGAAATTCGAACTGACCGTCAAAAGCCCCGTGCCCTGCCAGCTTTTCCTGCTTATTAAGAAAAGAAAATAAATGTTTATTTATGTATTTACCTCTTATCTCTATCTCACTCTTCCTCAGAATAATCCAACGGTCCTCATTCAATTTCCCAACGCAATCGTCGCTCCCCACTCGTTATTCCCTTCTTCAAAAAAAAAAAACACCCAACAAAAAAAGATCACGCGGCCCAGAGAACATAACAAACAAAAATCAGAAACACCAAAAAAAATTTGATTTCCTCTCTCTCTCTGATCTGAATTTCTTCGTCCTCCGATCTAGCGAGAAGAGCAATGGCGGCGTCTACGGCGAGGGAGGAGAACGTGTACATGGCGAAGCTCGCGGAGCAAGCGGAGCGGTACGAGGAGATGGTCGAGTTCATGGAGAAAGTCGCCGGTGCCGTCGACAACGAGGAGCTCACCGTCGAGGAGAGGAACCTCCTCTCCGTTGCCTACAAGAACGTCATCGGAGCACGGCGTGCCTCGTGGAGGATCATCTCCTCGATTGAGCAGAAGGAGGAGAGCCGCGGCAACGACGACCACGTCTCCGTGATCCGTGACTACAGAGGCAAGATCGAGACGGAGCTCTCCAATATCTGCGACGGAATCCTCAAGCTGCTCGACAGCCGCCTGATTCCGGCAGCATCTTCCGGAGATTCCAAGGTTTTCTACCTCAAGATGAAGGGAGATTACCATAGGTACTTGGCCGAGTTCAAAACTGGTCAGGAGAGGAAGGATGCCGCCGAGAACACACTCAACGCTTACAAATCCGCTCAGGTCTCATTTTTGCTCCCGATCTGTCTTTTCCGATGACTGATTGGTTTGACTAAGCCCGAAACGGATCCTAGATTCTGTTGGTTGTGGGTTTGCGGTGATTTGGATGCGTTGACTTGATTCCGTATGAGATATGGATGCGTGTGTGAATCATTCTATGTTGATATTATGTCCTCTGTGGGTGATGAATTGACTTTGTTCGTGCTGATATTCTGCAGGATATCGCTAACGCAGAACTTGCTCCAACCCATCCGATCCGTCTCGGCCTGGCTTTGAACTTCTCTGTCTTCTACTATGAAATCCTCAACTCGCCTGACCGTGCTTGCAATCTCGCTAAGCAGGTAAAAGAATTGTTTGACTGAGCAAGTATTAGGTTGCTTCATTGGTCTTCTGTGTCTGATGGCATCTCTGGAATTGCCAGGCATTCGATGAAGCCATTGCCGAGTTGGATACTCTAGGCGAGGAGTCATACAAGGACAGCACCTTGATCATGCAGCTTCTCCGTGACAATCTCACTCTCTGGACCTCTGACATGCAGGTATTAAGCATTTGATCCGAACTGCGTCTTCTTTGCGTTGACTTTTTGATTGTCTGAACCAAAACTCCGATACTGCTGAAATTGGGTCTGGCTTGAAACCCTAGTGGGCGATGGTGGGTGGGATTTTGTTGCTTCATGTTCCAAACTAGTTCACGAGAAAGAGTGTGTCTTGTGCATTCTGCTAACTTGCTACTCTTAGTTGTTTTCTTAATATTTTCGTGTTGTTCTTGCCAATGCTTCGCTAGGACGATGGAGTGGATGAGATCAAGGAGGCAACACCAAAGCCTGCTGATGAACAGCCGCCGCAGTAAGCCCGCGGTTTCCCCTTTACTCAGTATTTGAACTTCTCCGTTATATATGATTTTGCGTGGAGAAGTTTGTGTTTGTTGCTAATTCTCCTTTTCGTCTACCTCGAAGCTTGTGAGGCCAATGTATTCTTGCCCTTGTCTGGTTTGTATTATCTCTGATCCATCTTTCCTGTTCTTCTTTATCCTCTCTTTGATCGATTTCACCATGGATTTTTCTGTAGTGAACTCACCTACCCAATCAATATTTCCTGGTCTTTGTTTCCTTTTCTCAATGGGTTTTCGCTCAGGTGAATCAACCCAAGATTTTTACAGTATAAAAAGGCTCACGGCTTGGGTTTTCGCAAATCTACCCGTTCGACAGGATCCGAGTAAGCCTCGCGGTTGATTTTCTGCCCCATAGAGCTTAGCTTTGTCAGCGTAGTTATTAGATCAACCTGTTGAAAACAAAAAGGCACAAGCATAGAGAGAACCCAAATGCACATTAGCTTTGAAAGTGTTGGGTCTAAGGCAGAACAAGTGAAAAGAAACCTCGTAATCTGTCTTAGATACGGTTTCCATGATTAGAAATCTTAACCCCATGAAGTAGAGTTTTCGTTACTTGTAATCAGCCCCTCATCCAACGGCTACGAAACCTTGGCTTCCATATATTGCACAGATGCTTAGTCCCATTGCTGGAACTGGCTCTGCTCCTAGTTGTCTATCAAACAAACACACCGTACACGGTCCCTCAATGACTCTCAATTTGAAACCAGAAACAGAAAAAAAAAAAAAAAAATTGAAAGAAACGCCGAACCTTGACGCAAAAAAAAAAAAATCAACTTGGAGATAAATGTAGACTTGATGGCATTTCCACCGCATTTTCTGATTGCTGATGCTATAAATGTTGACTTGATGGCAGCTTGTGCTAAAGAGTTGAAAGAAGATCAACTGAGTAGTATTCTAAGGGGCTATATATATATATTAAGATTTTATCACAATTTTTAAGAAAAGTAGATAAAATATCAAATATATCCTCATTAATTCAAATTATTATTAATATTTTATTAAAATTAAATATTTTAATTAAGGATAAAATTAGAAATTTTATTAAAAATAAAATAAAAAATCTAAAATAATGTCTATTTAGTAATAAGATAATTTTTTAAAACGATGTTTATTGTAAAACGGGAAGAATATATATTTATATATTGGTCTGATTGAGCCTTTATTAAGTTGGTGAATAAACCCCATTCAGACTCGCGGCGAGAGAGCGTGGATGACACCCCCAAAATTTGCCGATTTAAATAAGTCCTTTTATAAAAGAAAATAGAAAATAAAAATCGTATTTAGTGTTCAAAATGTAATAACTTCAAATGTAAATTGATTGGGTAATGCTACATTCGCTATTATCAAAACGGATTTCGTTGGGGAAAAAAGGAAGCAAGAAAAAAATTGGGGTGAGATGTAAAAAGAATAAAAAGGTAAGGGGCTGAAAAGAAAATAGAAGAGAAGGTTGCTAGGAACTTAGGCTTCAAAAATTGGACCCTCAGGAATCGTCAAGGACCATTTCACAAGTCGGTAGCAAAATCAATATGTTCTTGACCATCACAAACGTCAAACACGTTTTTTTCAATAAAAAAATAGACAAATAAATAATATAGATTTATATAATATATTTCGATTATTATTTCTCACTAGTGATCGATGTTTTCAGATATATTTTTATATATGATTTAATTAAAATGAATCATATATAAAAATAAAAATGAGAATATTGAATTGTTTTAGAAAACAAAGATTTTTAATTAAAAAAATCAATCTAAAATGAATCAAATATAGTCCAAGCTAAAATAAATATAAATCGATATAATTTTTATAAAATAAAAAATCTAAATCTAAATTTATTTTTTATATTTTTATAAAATCCCTAATATATCCTAATTCCAATATTTTAACCTTCTCTTAACATGAATGAAAGTGATTTTTTACACAAATTAGACTAACAAATACAACAGGTTCATTATAATAAAATTATTTTATGCAAAGATGAATTCGTATTTACAAGCACTTCCACATATGGATATTATAAATTCGGCACCTTGACTATTTATGATATAACGAAAAAACAACATATAAATTATTCATGTAGAAAACACAATAACCTTTTTTTATTTATATAGCAATGAATTAACCGTGCGTCATTGCCTTTCTTATAAAAAGTTGTTAGACGTGATTAATATTCCAAAATACCAAAATCAAACAATAATTATATACATGTATATATGTGTGCGTGTTTGTGTGTGTGTATATATATGCGTATATGTATGTATAACCTTATTGTAAGATTTGGATTTTTGTTTTTCTCACGATATAAGAAAGAATCATATCGATCATCGATGGAAAGAGAGAAACACGTTGGTCTTTGAGCGTACGTGTATGTACATGCATGCGTGTCCAATCAAATGATGAACAGAAATGGGAAATCTGAAACCCTAATCTTCTGCCTAATCAAAGAATCGAAAGCCATGACCCAAAAAAAAAAATGAAAGAAAGAAACCCTCGTAAGTTTTCAAAGATTACACTCTCTTGTCTCTTCTTGGACCGACCAAACTGAAAAAGAACCCTCCTTTCTTCTTCATCTTCGTCTTATCTTCGCCTACATTATGTGCCACAGATCGGCTTTTCGTCATCCACGAGAGCCCTTTTGATTTGTACCGTCGATCGATAGGAGACGGGCAAGAAGAAGCCGAAGAAGAGCAGTAAGACGATAGAGAAGAAGACGACGAATACAGTAATACATGTTTTCTTCTTCGTTGCGACGAGGAAGAAGAAGAAGAAGAAGAAGCTGATTTGATGAGACGAGAGAGCCTCTCGTTGAGACAGAGGGAACAAACCCCCGGAGACTGACGGTGCTTCGGATGCTTCTTGCAAAACGCAGCGTTTTTGCCCTTCTCTGGTGCCTTCTTCGTCTTCATCAAGCTTAAGCTCAAGCTCAAGCTCAAGCTCAAGCTCGCCATCCTTTGATGATGGTCCGTTTTTTTTTTCGTTTTTCTTTTTTGTTTCTGGGAGATATGGAGGGATATATAAAAACATAGACAAAGGGTGTGTGTATGTTCTGTGATAGTTCAGGGAGGTTTCTTGGGATTTTCCGGGAAAGTTTAGGGAGGTTGACAGGTTGGTGTGTGGGGTTCAGTAGAAAATAATCGACGGCTGGGATGATTTTAGGGGAAGCGATGGACGGCTGAGATGAGGTTCAGAGGGCAAAGCAATTTTATTTCGTAGGGTCCAAAGTGGTATGGACGACGGGAAAATTCCAACTCTGGTAGGCGCGTGGAAAGTCCAACACTTCATATATGGACACACATGCATATGCATATATATATATATATAATGATAAATATGCATGCATAAAATATTATATCTATGTATGTTTATGGGCATGTCCGTATACTTATAATGCAAAAGCATGTAGATTGATTCTTGAATAACATAGTACGGCAAAGAACACATCCATGAAAGTGTATGATCATCCGATGAGCGACATCTGTCCTACTCCGACAAATTTGATAAGGATGTAATGATAGAAAACCTTTGTTCTTTCAAAACGTATTAAATACGCACGTACACATTTTGATGTTGTAAATTAATAACATATTATATATTGGTCTATTTTAATTTTTGAGTTAATCGCATAAAAATATCCGAACTTTTACAAAAATTTCAAATAAATACCCGAATTATAAAATTATCATATAAATACCTAAACTTTTCAAAACTCCCACATAAATACCCAAACTTTTAAATTTTTTTCAAATCAAACAAACGCAACTACTGACTCAGCAAAAAACTGCTGACTCAGCAAAAAAAACTGTTGACTCAACAAAAAACTGCTGACTCAAATCCGAACTTTTACAAAAATTTCAAATAAATACCCGAATTATAAAATTATCATATAAATACCTAAACTTTTCAAAACTCCCACATAAATACCCAAACTTTTAAATTTTTTTCAAATCAAACAAACGCAACTACTGACTCAGCAAAAAACTGCTGACTCAGCAAAAAAAACTGTTGACTCAACAAAAAACTGCTGACTCAACATTCAAAAATATTATTAAATATCCAAATATTCATCTACATATATTTAAATTAATATATACATATAAATTTACATATATATACAAATATATATATATATATATATATATATTAAAAATAAAATTATTTATAATTAATAAAATACATATACACATAACTACAATATATATATATATCATTACTATGCATTATTATTTTTAATAAGTATTTTAAAATAATAATAATGCATTATTATGTATATATAATTATAGTTATTTTTATTTTAATATATATGCATTAGTAATAATATATATGCATTAGAGTAATATATATACTAAAAATAAATTTAGTTATTAAAAATAATAATGCATTATTATTATTTTAAAATACTAATATATTTACATAATATATATATATTTAATTATAATTATTTTTAATCTAATATATATGCATTAGTAATGATATATATATATGTATATATATATTGTAGTTATGTGTATATGTGTTTTATTAATTATAAATAATTTTGTTTTTAATATATATATTTGTATATATATGTGAATTTATATGCATATATTAATTTAAATATATGTAGATGAATATTTGAATATTTAATAATATTTTTGAATGATGAGTCAGCAGTTTTTTTGTTGAGTCTGCAGTTTTTTTTTGCTGAGTCAGCAGTTGCGTTTGTTTGATTTGGAAAAAATTTAAAAGTCTGGGTATTTATGTGGGAGTTTTGAAAAGTTCAGGTATTTATATGATAATTTTATAGTTCGGTATTTATTTGGGATTTTTGTAAAAGTTAATGAATTTTTATGTGATTACCCCTTAATTTTTCGCCTTCCATTGAGAGAAAAAAGACCGCTAATTTTCGGCAAAACTGTAAATATCAGCAACATAACACTACTTTATTTATCAGAAACACAGTAATTAATATTTTTAACCACGAAAATCAACAATTTTACCATTACTATTAACGCCGAAAAATGCATGATCCAATCGGCTGAACTTTAAAACCTAAACATACTTTAACCGCTCATTTTATAAAATAATGAATTAAATCTGTAGAAGTAAATTCGCATGTCTAATTTGACCGATTCAATGGAATGTTTATTTTTGGCACTCTAGTGAAAGGAAAACATTACGGAAATGTCACAAAAATCCCCCCTGAAAATCATTCGGCACCAATCTCTCCCTCTCTCTCTATAAGAAACTTGTGGAACACGCTATAGACCTAACGTAAATATATCACAATTTTTTTTTCTATTTACAATTTCACAAGTCATCAGCATACGTGGAGATTGTCCAAAAACAAATAAAGAAATTTTCATAAACACGCGTTATCGTTTCGTGTTCGTATATAAATAAGGAAATTATAAATAAATAAATCCCCAAGAGAAAGAGGAAAACCAAACCGTAATAAATAGAAACTTTAATGGATATATGAATTTCGGGTATTCGAAATTCGAATGTTTGTATTTGGTCAAAGAAAAAAAAACATAAGCGTAAGCCACAATTAGCAATGAGCACCAAAAACCAAAGCACAAGAACAACAACATCCACAATTCTCCTCAGCAAATTCCATCGGATTCAGCATTTTCGGAAAATGAATCGCAACGTTTCCCGGATTCTCGGCAGATCAAATTTGTCGGCGACTGTGTTCTTTTTTTCCCACCATGGTTTTATTTGGAAGCTTCAGTGGTGGATGATTCGGCTGTTTTGATCTCTCTTGCGACTTGAGAAACATATGGCTTCAGCTGAGACAACAGAGGAGATAGAAATGCATCAGCAAAGCTGAAGATCCGGCCATGGACACGTCACACGACTACAGGACACTGGTTCAACTAATCCGGACGGTTGTGTGAACGTTTTGTTCCGATGTTTAACGAAGCTTTGCCCATACTCTGCAATTTCCTCGCACGATGAAATAAAACTGAACGAAAAGATTGTGATTGGATATACAGACCTCGAAGTCGGTCAGATCAGGGACCACGTAGTTCGGCAATTTCTCTGGCTGGACAACATATCCTCCTACAAAAACACGGTTCCGATTAGAGACGAGGGAGAGAAAGCTTAGAACTAAATGTAATCATCCATGTTCGTACACTCTTCTATGATTCCCGGAAAATAGTCAGCAATGCAAAACCAAGCGAGCAGCTACTCTACATTCCGTACGTTCGCCTCATACATTCGTACTCCCAGCACTCAACATTACCCCCAAGTCAATCGGGTTTCGAGCCGACAGCACAAAGATCTGATTCAATAACCTGGCATAGCCCATCACTATTTTTCAATATATGGCATAAATGCAAGTGCCGATAACCTCTAACGCGGCACGAGAAGATCCGAGGCTACTACATTGGTTCTAGAGAATCATCAACAATATACATCGAAGGCAAATACTTTAGCAGATTACATGCTGGAATCAAATTTTTATGCTGTTGTTCAATCGCAAGAATTCCACATAAGCAACTACCGGATTGATTTCACAAAAAAAAAAAAGGAACAATCGCCAATAAAACGGTGAATGAGGATCGATAAAAAAAATTGACAGGAAATGCGAACCTTTTCTGGTGTGGAAACCAGTGGGTTTGCAGTTCTTCCCCTTGTAGTAGTCCCTCGGTGCTCGTTTCGACGACAGAATATCCAACGACGACGTTCGCTTCCTCCGAAAAGTTCTTCCGATACCTAGAATCAACCCTAGA